CTGAAGAGATATACTGCATATCTAATCTGTCATCTAACCTTCACTCGCTAACCTGTGGTATTTATAGAGTGCTAATCATCAGATCAGGCGTTTATCTTCCATGATACAAGACAGACTTAAATTTAATATGAGAGTGGGATCCACACTATGTTAAAATGTTTATCATTCTCAGCAGGGGAGGGGGCTGAGGAGAGAAGTCACCTTTCCAGTGCCGCTCCGGAGAGGACATTGCTAGCCAGCAGCATTTTCTAACTTTGCTTTTTTTCAAAACCTACCTTTTTTCTACCTTCCTTTCCAGCGTTTTCCGCTTGCCGAGCAATAACAAGGGGTATTTATATTTAAAATGACAGATGGTGCCCGTCCCAGTGCTGATAAGGGTGACTGTACAAACAGTACAACCTCTCCTTGGTGGGGGAGCTGTAGAAAATGGCACAATCTGGTACGAGGTCGTTTCTGGTTTATTTGATAATCATAGAACCATAGAATTGCCCAGGTTGGAAGGGACCTTTAAGATCATCTGGTCCAACCATCAACCTAACTCTGATAAAAACCATCACTAAACCATGTCACTAAGCACTATGTCAACCCATCTTTTAAATCCCTCCAGGGATGGTGCCTCAACCCCTTCCCTGGGCAGCCCATTCCAATCTCTACACCCCACCGCTCCCCCAGGGGTGCCCTTACAAAAATTGGCCAATTTATCCTTATAAAAATGTTACCAATTTTTCTAGTATGAAGAAAGCAAACAATTGATGTTGGGCACCTTAAAACCTACCCATATCTCCAGATTCATGGCCTTTTTCTACATGTGGTTTAAAACAGAGCCTCACCTTTAACTGGGGGAGAAATGGCCCCGTAGCATCACGTCTGCAGCTCTGCCAAGTGATGACTGCGCAGGGTTTTTAGATGAAGAAGGCTGACTCTGTGTTACCAAGAGGCCTTAAAGATCACTGAGTTCCCACCCTCTGCCCTGGGCAGGGACACCTCCCACCAGACCAGGTTGCTCCAAGCCCCATCCAGCCTGGCCTTGAACCCCTCCAGGGATGGGGCAGCCACAGCTTCTCTGGGCACCCTGGGCCAGGCTCTCACCACCCTCACAGCAAAGAAGTTCTTCCCCAGATCTCATCTCAATCTCCTCTCTTCCAGATTCCCCCTACCTGATCCAGAGTCCCTCCCCATCTCTCCTGGAGCCCCTTTAGGGACTGGAAGGGGCTCTAAGGTCTCCTCACAGCCTTCTCTTCTCCAGGCTGAACCCCTCCCATCTCTCTCAGCCTGTCCTCTCAGCAGAGGGGCTCCAGCCCTCAGAGCATCAAACTTCCCACCACCTGCCTAGCCAGAGCAGGCACTCTGAATGGGACCTCCCAGTTACTCTAGTTAAGAAACAAGTATTTTTATTGCTCAAGAAAGATGGTGTGCACCATAGGACAAGGAGGCCAAGGAACCCTTCTAGAAAGATATTGGGTTTATTGCTGGCTCCTTTTGCCATCATTAAGGCTGTTAGTGAAGTGAGGTGTCCTCCAAAGTACCAGTGACACAAGATTCACCCAACTCCTCCCAGAAATCCAAATGTAGAAAACTTCTAGAGGAAATCGTGTTCTGAAGTCATACAGATGTTTATAGGCCAATTAAATGTTTGTATGGGAGACCAGAGAGATAAGAGATCACTGAATCAAGAAATACGTGCATGTATGAGACTGGTGTGACAGGATGACCTCAAAAAGGCTGCTGTCAGCTCCCCAGGAGTGTGTTTCCTTCTTGTAGCCCATATGAAATAATTGTGGAAGATTCTTCTCCTCATAAATGCATCTGCCTCCAGTCTCACCTTTTTGGAAAGTGGGAGAGCTCATCATCATTGCTTGGTAATAACTCACTTACTATGTATGTTGTGCACCTATAGTCCAACTTGTATATACAGACACTCTAGTGCAAGGAGAAGGGCAGATTTTCTGCCCTGCAGTTAAATTATGGTAGTTTTTTAAACAACTCACAGCTCCGAGTGAACTGAAGAGCACTGCCTTCAAAGTTCCAAGGCTACTGCCAAGGTAAGGATGAGATGGCCACTTAAGCTCCTACATTATCACACAAGCCTCTTCAGCCTTCCAAGTAGCCTTTTAGGCAAGTTAAGGCTATGGGGTCATATCAGAAAATTGGTTTTTGTATTCTACTCTTTCTTAACTTTTGAAAGTAAGAAGCGTTGCTACTGTAGACAGAAGAATGTTGATATCTAGGTGCATGTGGCTTCAGCCATTCTATAGGTAAGATTTAGAAAGAAAAAAAAATAGCTATTGTCTGATTTATGAGCATAGAGTTAAATTTAGCTGCTGGTCCTCTGCATTTGAGAAAATCAGGTCATGGGGAGAACTCATTTCAGCCCATTTTGAATCAGGACCACCAGGAGGAGTTTCACCTGCAATTCGATCTTGACTCATAATTCTAAGTAATCATTCTCTCAGAAAAAGCTGATGATGTGTCCTTAGCAGTTGTGCTGAGGCAATAACCTTTACTCTGTATTGTTGGTAAACAGTCATAAAGCTATTATAATGTACCAGGAATTCCTGCTGAAAGACAGCATTTGCTTCTGCCTCTTAGAACTACGCGCAATCAAAGGAAATCAATTATGATAAATAGAAATGGCATCCAATGCCATATGCTACTGACATCAGGACTGCCTGCGTGTGACTGATGCAGATCTCAGGAAAAAAAAAAAAAGTAGGGAAGGAACCAATTTAATCAGGAGCGGAACTTTAATAAGCACAATTAGTAGGAACTGTGAGATGATGATGTGAATAATGAGGGTGAAATGATGGTGAGCTGTGAATTTCAGCTGAAGGCAAAGATTTTTTTTCCTTGGAGCAGAAGAGCTGTTTTTATCAGAGCTCACTCTCCTACACAGGTGATTTTAGCAAGCTCCCTCTCTCTTTACAGCCATTATCCGATCTATGTAACTCCTGCAGAACCTCAGGTGGCATCAGCCCTGCAACTGGAGTTCATTGCACTGAGCCTCAGCCCAGCTGGAATTTTACAGAGAGAATAAGAAGAATGGGACTTTCCGGGAACTTCTCTGTTGCTGTGCCACGTAACCTGAAAAGCTCTTTGATACCCCAGCAACGGACACCAGTAAAGAGCTGTTGGAGAGCTGGACAAGGAAATCCCATCAGGTCTTCAGTGCTCTGGGCTCCTTCCCTGCAGTAAATGGTAGTTACACCTCAACAGAACTACGCTTTGAGATTGCTCAGCTCTGGAGAGGTCATCTCTTCCTCCACTTTATCTCCTCAGAAGGGAAAAATTTGCGAGATAAATATTATGGAGAGGTAAATAAACAGGAATTTCTAAAGGGCCCAGCATGGGAAAAATAGGAGTTGTAGCAAAGGAAAAATTTGCAGCTGTGTGTCTGATGGGATGGCCTTTACACACCCAAGGCTTGGAGACCTTACAGATCTAACAGTTTTTGTTAAGGTGTGATATGAGCCCAGAGGGTAGGAATGCATAAATGCTATGCTTGGTGAAAAAATTTAGTACTTCTACCCCTATATTAGAGCAAGCAAGAAAGTGTGAAGTAACAAAGACCTGAAGTATCTATTTCTTCTTATTAAGGATGAGTTCCTTGCATTCCTGCTACTAAATGTTCCCTTATCTTGACTGGAGAGTCCTGACAGTTGTATCCTTCAGCTCCTGTTCTGCTACAAAAGTTCACACATACAATTTTATGAATTGCCATTTTGCTCTGTTACTTCATCGGTTTTATTTCAACAGCTTGTAGGAAGAATGTTTAATTGCACGGTAAGTCTGGGAGAAATCTGCATGTTCTGTGTTTGAAATTATTGTATGTGAAACGCAGGAGACAGCATTGTCATAAGTTATAGCAGCTGACTTTCTCTGAAGTTTCTCTCAAATCCCCCAGGAAAGCAAAATAATTCCTATACATGGGATTTCCATCCCTGGGACTTCCACCTGTGAACTCCTTGATGTAGGGGTCACGTTCTACTAGCTACAGTGTAAAACCTAAAGGGGGCTCCAGGAGAGATGGGGAGGGACTCTGGATCAGGGAGGGGCGCCGTAGGACCAGGGGGAAGGGGTTGACACTGAAAGAGGGGAGATTTAGATTAGATTTTAGTAAGAAATTATTTCCTGTGAGGAAATTTCAGTCACAGAGGAAGCAGTGCGAGCCACACATGCTCAGATGAGGGTAGATGTTTACTGGGAGGGAAAAATGGAAATTTGGGGTGGTAGAGACAGCAGTCAGGGTGGCAGGAGAGGAATTTGCAAAATTAAGGTCTTGTTTATGCAGATGACCACACAGTGCAGGGTCTAACAATCTTTCCCCACCAGGATGAGGATAGGCTGAGAGAGTTTGGGGGGATTCAGCCTGGAGAAGAGAAGGCTCCAGGGAGACCTTAGAGCCCCTTCCAGTCCCTAAAGGGGCTCCAGGAGAGATGGGGAGGGACTCTGGATCAGGGAGGGGAGCCCTAGGATGAGGGGGAAGGGTTTTAAACTGAAAGAGGGGAGATTTAGATGAGATCTGGGGAAGAACTTCTTTGGTGTGAGGGTGGTGAGAGCCTGGCCCAGGTTGCCCCGAGAAGCTGTGGCTGCCCCATCCCTGGAGGGGTTCAAGGCCAGGTTGGATGGGGCTTGGAGCAACCTGGTCTGGTGGGAGGTGTCCCTGCCCAGGGCAGGGGGTTGGAACTGGATGATCTTTAAGGTCCCTTCCAACCCAAACCATTCTATGATGCTATGAGGACAGAAGGCCAGGCAGGGCCCTCCCGCTCCCCTGGGGAGCCCGGTGCCACACTGTCAGCCTGCGGCCCCGCCTCATGGGAAACAGACTGGTGCAAATAAAGTTCAAGGTAACTTTGCAGATCAGGGTCATATTACTTTTCCACCGCCCATGTATATAAAAAGCACCCGAGGCCTGGCCGTGCGTGTGTGGCAGGAATGCTCTCCCCGGCCGTTGATGCATAGCTCCACGCCTGCCGTCTCCTGCCACAGGCAACTCTGGCTCTATGGCCACCGAGGTCCCAGCTGAGAAATTTGGGAAATGTCAGTGTGGGACACGCCAGGCTAAGAGCATCCTGTTCCAGATCCTTAACAAAGAAGACAGAAGCGAGGCCCAGTGGTCCCAGCAGTACCAGGGTCCCCGTCGCTCCACAGGAAGCCAGGGCTGCTCTTGCGTCGACAGGAGAAGAGTTGTTCTGAAAACACCAGAAGCCACGTGCAGAAGAGCCTCCGAAGTCCTCTTGAAGACTTTAACTTTCATTAGAAACTTGCCTTCTTTTTCTCACTTGCCTTGGGAGGATCAGCTTGTCCTCATACAGCAGAACTGGGCCCCTCTTTTTGTCCTGGGCATGGCACAAGAAGGGGTGGATTTTGACCTGAGAGAGATTTCAGCCCCTAGTTTGTTGAAAAAAATCCTCCTCAATCAGTCTTTGACAGCCAGCAATGAACTGGGCACCTCCTCACTGGGAGCATCTTTAGCAGAAGTTCAGAAGATGAAGAATTTATTGTGGAAATTCTGGGACCTGGACATAAGTGCAAAGGAATATGCCTATCTTAAAGGAATTATTCTTTTTAATTCTGGTAAGTCCTCCTGAAAATTACACAGATGATCATCTGCATCGAAGGGCATTTAGCATTTTCATTTACTATTAGATAAATGTTTAGTTCTGCTCTTTTCTATGAATATACCTAAATGTTCCCAAAAATCTATATTCCACACTTTAATGATTTTCTGCCTGAAGCAGTTTATTTAGGTCCCTTTGATGTGTGCAGTTGGTCACTCCCTGTAAGCCAAAACAGCTTTTCAGACAAATTTTAAGTCATAAAGAATTAGCTGTGTCACTTCAAACTGGTTTCCAGTTCACAGGTAAGGTAATACAGCAAAGGAGAGATGGTACATGGGTACGTGATGTGAGTATTAGAAGTATTTTAACAGAGACTTCCTCTGTAGCAAGAACACCGGAGAAAATAATCTATTTAATCTGATTTTCATCAGTGAGGCTAAAGGATGCTGCTTTGAGGTTACGCTGTTTTTATTTATTTATTTATCATAGAATCATAGAATGGTTTGGGTGGGAAGGGAACTTAAAGATCATTGAGTTCTGACCCCCTGCCCTGGGCAGGGACACCTCCCACCAGACCAGGTTGCTCCAAGCCCCATCCAGCCTGGCCTTGAACCCCTCCAGGGATGGGGCAGCCACAGCTTCTCTGGGCAACCTGGGCCAGGCTCTCACCACCCTCACACCAAAGAATTTCTTCCTGAGATCTCATCTCAATCTCCCCTCTTTCAGTTTAAAACTGTTACCCCTTGTCCTATTGCTCTATTCCCTGATCAAGAATCCCTCCCCATCTCTCCTGGAGCCCCATTAAGGACTGGAAGGGGCTCTAAGGTCTCCCTGGAGCCTTCTCCAGGCTGAACACCTCCAGCTTTCTCAGCCTGTCCTCGCAGCAGAGGGGCTGCAGCCCTCAGAGCATCATTATCCTTTAATATCTCTACAGTTCCAGCTTTCTCAGCCTGTCCTCCCAGCAGAGGGGCTCCAGCCCTCGGAGCATCATTATCCTTTAATATCTCTACAGTCAAAGCCTGGGACAGCAGTCACGGAGCAAAAACTCAGACTAGAGATCGCATCCTCTCACTTCTGGTGCCAAGTCCAGGCTCTTTCAGAAGGCAGGTTGCCCAGGTCAGCACCACTGAGTGCGTGAGTCATTAAAAGCCGAGCTCTTAAGTCCATTAAAGCAAATGGAAAGAATTATTGACTCCAGCCTGCTCTGGCTCCCAGACTCCTTCCCCAGCAATCGGCGGTGCTGGCTGCGCTGTCAGCACTGCGCTGCGCTTGGGGCCGCACCAACAGGATCCTTGAACACTTCAGTTATTCCATGATTTTTCTTGTGGTGAACGGTTTAAAGGCTGCTCGAAGGCTGCAGTGACTTTAGATGTGTTTCCAACAGGGTTCAGATTCTGATTCTCGGGACGTAATGTCATCCAGATGTTTGGTGTGTTCCCCTGTGTCTGTGCCCGCAGCATCAGATCAGCGGAGCTCCTTTCAGTGCAAGTTATTTTCTCAGATTTTCACAATAAAATCAGGCTGAAAGAAATCAGGCCGTATCCAGTGTGACGATAAGAGGAGAAATCCCTCATCTGCAGCAGTTTATGCAGTTTAACGAGCAGGCATTTTTCATTATCTCTGCGGATAAATGTGATTTTCAGTTAATGAAGGAGAAAGCAGCAGCAGCTGCTGGGTTTGTGCTGATTCCTGCTGCTTCTCGGGGAGCAGTACGAGAGACCCCGGGGTGCAGCCCTTCATGCTGTCTGCAGAGATTCAGGGGGTTGTCCTCCTCCTTGGGTGGGATCACCCTGTTCCCTTGGAGATGCCTTTTCCCAGAGGCTGTGAAAGGCGGTTGGGAGGACCTGAGTTAAGTCTGGATTGACTCCAGATGGAACAAAGAGTCACTCTCTGACTCTGGGCTGAAACAGGTACTCGGGGATTATACACACCCCAAACCATTCTTTCTCTACCTGTTTTGCTGCAAACAATTCTCTACAACTGTCCTTTCAGAGTTTTGTTTTTTTTTAATAGTTTTTGGACACTTTCCACCAAACTCAGAATATGTTTTCTGCATACATTGCAGCACATTTTCAGCTGCTGCCTTAGATTTAGATTGATGTTTAGCCAAATCCTAATATTTTACAGACCTTAGTTCTAGGGGGAATTCAGGCTGCCATCGGCAGCAACAACGCCAAACCCTCTCCTGCATCATGGAGTACCTCCTGTGGGCTCCTACCCTGTATCTTTAATTCCTGTGAGGACACCAAAACTGGCTGAGGCAAAGGGGAAGGACCTGGCATGGAGCAGTCCAGAGCTGGGTTATGAGTTGTATTCAATGAGGTGCCCAGAAATCATAGAATCATAGAATGATTTGAGTTGGAAGGGACCTTAAAGATCATCCAGTTCCAACCTCCTGCCCTGGGCAGGGACACCTCCCACCAGACCAGGTTGCTCCAAGCCCCATCCAGCCTGGCCTTGAACCCCTCCAGGGATGGGGCAGCCACAGCTTCTCTGGGCAACCTGTGCCAAGGTCTCACCACCCTCACAGCAAAGAAGTTCTTCCTGAGATCTCATCTCAATCTCCCCTCTTTCAGTTTAACACTATTACTCCTCGTCCTATGGCTCCACTCCCTGGTCAGGTACAGCCACAGGGTCTTCTCCAGGATCCAGGCAGTAAGTCAAAGGACAGTGTCCCACCACACACGGACAGCAAAGAGGGAGGTGAAACTGTTCTTGCTGCTTTTGACAATAGTCTGAAAAGCAATGGGAACTGCCCAGGGAAGAGATGGGAATCGAGAAAAACAGTGCTGCTACTGTATCAGTGCTGTATATATGTATTTATGGAGTTATATCTATATATATAAAACTCCATCAAGGTTGTGACAGGACTTTCTGTTAAAAAAGATGCTCTTAAGAGGTTTACAGTTCAGCTGGAAATACGTGTTTACCTGAATATTATTACAGCAGCTCTCAGAACAAGAAGTTTCTCATGATTTGCAAATTAAACCCAGTGTTTGATTACATATTAAAGAAGACCAAATGGGGAAATGAAGCAAATTTGAAGGGATATAAGCAATTGCAATTCCATCCTGAATACACAAAATCCTGACAACTTCCTTTCCATGAAAAGTCTAACACTTGGAACCACACTCACAGCTTGCAGCTGGTGGTAATCCTGGGGGAGAAGATGACTTTTCCATACCCTTCATTTCTGGCCAGCCTGGTTGCAGGCTTTGCTGAGGCTTCTGTTCCTCTGGCAGCGATGTCTAGGGAGAAGAATGCTGCTGAAGACTGACAAAGGGCTGAAAATAAAAGCCCAGCCAGGTTGGTTTTGCCCTAGTACAGGGCACAAGGCAAGAAGGCAGAACCTCCCATGCTTGAATGGTCCTGTGTGAAACACTCCCTGGTCTAAGTATTCAGATCCCATCCAAGGGAGGAGGTATGTGGTCAGTCGCTGTAGAAGACACTAAACTGGAGTGTGCTGGGAGGTAGGTTAAAATAATATTTCGGAGGCAGGAGAGGCAAAAGTTAAAACTTGGGAATTCATGCGACCCCGGTACAGGCTGCAATTCTAGGATGAAAAGATGGTGTTACCCTCAGAAAACGAGGACAGGAGGCAACGGGTTGCTGAGAGGTAAGTGACAAGACATCCCCACCAAAAGCAAAGGATAAACACGGGATGTCCTTTGAACTGAGCCCTGGCACCCACAAAGAGCCTCAGTGAGCCAGCAGGTTTGAAATCACATGCTACAGGAGGTATGTGATTGAGGCCAAGACCATGACTCCGTAAGGCAGAGACCTCTCCCTCTTCAGCTGAGGAAAGGGAGCACAAAACCAGAAAATACTAATGTCTATCCTATTTCCATGGGTCGTGACCTATCTCACAGGGAACATTTATGCTCTTTTTAGACTGTAAATGAAGATATCTAGGTAGCATGGTGAACCACAGTGCCCCAGCTTAACCTAGCAAGTGGAGGCAACAACAGGAGGGAGATGGGGCTGGGTAGACTGGAAACCTTCAGGCTGCCAGCCTGCTTGCTGCTCCAAACCACCGCCTCCATCTTCCTGATCTTACCTACCTACTTTAGATTAGAACTGGAATGTTTCCACCTACTCAGACTATGGTCTAAGCATCATTTGGTGGGCAGTCAACACTATGTAAGCTTCTTCTCCATCTGTACTAAGTCAAAGTTGCCTCCTGTTACCATTTCAAAGCTGGATTTTATGTAATGGGCTAAATTCTGATGTGCTTACAATTCTGCTCAATGTTCCTTCAAATAACTGAACTATGCATATCTCTTTTTTTCCCAGAAAAAGGATGTTTAGAAAGTTTTGATAGTTTTCAAGAGAAAGTAGTTCTAGAAGCTAGAAAGCCAGAGACCCATCATTATGAAGGGCACAGGACAAAAATATTTACTCAAGATTTATTATTTTACCTTTTGTTTTGACAGGTTGCCACATCCTAAAATGTCTCCCCTACGTACAAACACTGCAGCAGGAAGCTCAGCGAGCCCTGATAGAATTTATCTCAACGATGTTCAACAGAAACCTTGGCAGGTTTGCTTGGATTCTTCAGCTTATCGCCTCTCTTCAAGACATTGATCAAGATGCTATTGAAGAGCTCTTCTTCAGGCCCATCCTAGGAGAGGCCACCCTAAATGACTGACTTCTAGAAACCCTCTATATCAAGCCATCTGGCTTTGAAAAGAGATGACATCTGTGCTCTCAATCACTTCTGAAGAGAGGAGAGGATTTCATGAGCTAAACACATCTCAAACAAATCATTGATGCATCTTTGTAAGCCATATATATTTTTGTACAATGAAGTAATTTGGTAACATTTGGGAATTAAAGGCAGAGAATCTAAGCATTTCATGATTCTGTGTGCTTTCAGAAACCTTTAGTCTAACATATCCAAAGGCTGTCTAGGAGTGGGTGTGATGTGGTGGGGTGTTGTGTTTTTTGTTTTGTTGGTTTTTTTTTGTTTGTTTTTTTTGTTTGTTTATTTGGTTTTTTTTTTAAGGTTGGACTTGATGATCTCAGAGGTCCCTTCCAACTGTGGTGATTCTGTGATTCCCTTTTATAATTACCCTCACTTCCGTCCAAACAGATGGCAGATATTCCTTGGGCAGCAGAAATATGGAAATATGGTGTCCTACATCCTGTTCCTCCCTCTCTCACTGCACGAGTTCTACAGCAGAAATACTGAAATATGGTGTCCTACAGATGTGTACAATCTGTTCCTCCCTCTCTCACTGCACGAGTTCTGTGTCTCCATCTCCAAGTGTGCCACGGCGTGTCCCACAGCATCTCGCTGCCTCCTCTCTGTCTGGCCAAAGAGGCAGTGTGTGTTGCAGTTGGCTCCAAGCTCTGTGTGTGCTGACTGTTCATCCATCAGGATAAAAAACCCACCCCATTCAGCTTATACTTTAGCTACAGTAAGAGAAGCTACTTGTATCTCTTTCCTGTCCCATTCCTTTTCCAATGGTTTCCATGAAACTTAAGAGGAACTAATTCCTGAGTTATTTCAGTAGAGGGTCCAATCTCATTTTGTTTGGGAAGGGGGCTCAAATTCAGCAAATGGGGACTGACAGGAAGGGAGACAGACAGGAGGACAAAGTAAAATAGCTTAATCCACGCTTCCTCAGAAAGCTTATCGACAGGCAGGGAGACAGACAGGAGGACAAAGAGTATAACAGCTTAATCCACGCTTCCTCAGAAAGCTTATTAACAGAGAGACTACAATTTCTGTGTAGTGTCCAGCTTTTACCTTCATCAGCCAAAGGCCTGCTCCGTGGCTCACCAACAACCTGAACCCAGGCCAGGGTTCACGATTTGGAAGCTTGAATTTCAGGCTACTGAAGAGCACATCAGTCTCTGCTCACAGCTTTACCTCTTATCGAAATCTGCTTCAAGGTCTTTGACTTTATCTTCATGGTATACAATGGCTTCAATTCAACTTTCTTTGAATTGGAGGGCACAATGCCAACGGGTTCCCATGGCTTGGCTCACCTGGAAGACAATGCAATATTTGCTGAGTACTCTTTTAGCCTGATGGGTGTCTCTGTAGCTGACTGTTCATCCATCAGGATAAAAAACCCACCCCATTCAGCTTATACTTTAGCTACAGTAAGAGAAGCTACTTGTATCTCTTTCCTGTCCCATTACTTTTCCAATGGTTTCCATGAAACTTAAGAGGAATTAATTCCTGAGTTATTTCAGTAGAGGGTCCAATCTCATTTTGTTTGGGAAGGGGGCTCAAATTCAGCAAATGGGGACTGACAGGAAGGGAGACAGACAGGAGGACAAAGAGAAATAGCTTAATCCACGCTTCCTCAGAAAGCTTATTAACAGAGAGACTACAATTTCTGTGTAGTGTCCAGCTTTTACCTTCATCAGCCAAAGGCCTGCTCAGTGGCTCACCAACAACCTGAACCCAGGCCAGGGTTCACGATTTGGAAGCTTGAATTTCAGGCTACTGAAGAGCACATCAGTCTCTGCTCACAGCTTTACCTCTTATCGAAATCTGCTTCAAGGTCTTTGACTTTATCTTCATGGTATACAATGGCTTCAATTCAACTTTCTTTGAATCGGAGGGCACAATGCCAACGGGTTCCCATGGCTTGGCTCACCTGGAAGACAATGCAATATTTGCTGAGTACTCTTTTAGCCTGATAGGTGTCTCTGTAACCAGCTGTCTGAATAGAAAGCCCGATGCCCCACAGTGGATCACGGTCAACATCTTGGGTTTTCACAAGATGGTGTTACCTTCTACCATGAAGAGAAATACTAGGCTTCAGAGGGAACTCCCACAAGATCTGATACTTATGGAGCTCACCTCATTGTGCTCTGAATACAAGATTCAGTCCTTCAACAGGTCTTTAACAAAACACTTCATCTTTACTATGTTTGCAATTAAAAAACTCAGCAACATTGAGCTAAAGCTCTATGTAACCAAATATTCTCACAAACCCGATCACAGAGAGAGTATTAACCTTGATAATAATTTGTTTGATATCCTGTTCAAGGGGGCTGAGATACTATTGTCTTCCTGAGGACAGAGAAAGAACCTGTACTTAATGTAATTAAGCTGCATATGAAGGTGGAAGCTGTGAAAATATGAGAGACAGGCAGGAACAAGATGGGTGAGAGATCATGAGCAGAGGTGAGGAGCAAAAGCAGGAACTCTCTCTGGAAGGAGAAAAAGCACAGCAATAAACAGCCTTTAGAAGTCAAAGGAAATAACGCATCACAATGGAGAAACAGAGACAGAAATGGACCAAAGGCAGGAGGAAGATAAGGGAAAATTCACCACTGCCAGCATTCCTGGAAAAAAAAGAAAAAGAGAAAAAAACAATGATGAGCGAAAGGTGTGTCACCATTTCCTTCAGCTTCTGGAATTGAAATCAGAAGCAGAAGCACTTTTTACCTGGCTGTGAAATCCACCAGCAAAGTATGTGTATCCATCCCCCTCTAGTGCCCAGGAGAAGACAATATTGCCACCACCCAGAATGGGAGCTGAGCTGGTGGAGACCGGCCAAATAAAGTACCCCGAGCTGCTGTTAATAACCCAGGCAGAGCTTCCACTCACAGACACCTCTCCTTTCCCAGTTGCTGACTTTTTCAAAATACTATGTAACAGTATTTTTCAATTGTTAGAAAAAAAATCTACATTTGCAAAATCAAGAATGAAAAAGTAAATCCAATTTGCTTCTGCAACCTCACTCCAGCCTCCTTCTGAATATCACCATAAGCTCTTTTAATGACCTGATTACAGACTCCTGGGGTTTCCCTTCAGGACTCCCTGCCAGAATGGCCTGTGCTGTGGGAATTTGTTACGACTGTGCAATGGAGGAGGCTGCAGCCTGCAAAGGCTCAGCTGCTTTCCTTGCAGCACTGACATTGCAGAACCTGGATTAAAATAAGTCTGTGGAGACAGAAATGATGCTCTCACAGTTAAAAGGGATGAATGACACCTTACAGTCCGTGGGGCAATGTCTCCAGAGACAGAGACCCCACCACCTGGTCTGCAGAGACAGAAACGATGCTCTCACAGTTAAAAGGGACGAATGACACCTTACAGCCCGTGGGGCAATGTCTCCAGAGAAGGAGACCCCACCACCTCTCTGGGCAGCCTCTGCCAGGGCTCTGCCACCCTCAAAGTCAAGAAGTTCCTCCTCATGTTTAGATGGAACTTCTTATGGTCAAGTTTGTGGCCATTTCCTCTCATCCTGTCCCTGGTCACCACTGAAAAAAGACTGGGCCCATCTTCCTGACACCCATTTATTTATAAGCTTTGATCAGATCCCCCTTCAGTCTTGTCTTCTCCAGACCAAACAGACCCCAGTCCCTCAGCCTTTCCTCATCAGAAAGATGTTCTGGGGTTATTCAGCCTGGAGAAGAGGAGGCTGAGGGGAGACCTTATTGCTCTCTCCAACTCCCTGAAAGGAGGGTGTAGAGAGGTGGGGGTCAGTCTCTTCTCCCAAGTCACAGGCGACAGGACGAGAGGAAATGGCCTCAAGTTACCCCAGGGGAGGTTCAGGCAATATTAACTTTAACGTCTTCTAATATTCGCATGCTCGGCTTTGCAGTCCTGACCTTCTTTAAACAGTAGGTTTTAGAGTTATTCTTCCAGCTAAACATGTATTTCTAATAAACAACAGCTATCTGAGATAGGCTTGGAAACAAAGATAACTCAGAGGTTTTATTCACCTGCCCGGAAAGGACTAAGAAGACACACTATTCTCTGAGAAAACAATCATCTGAACCTCAGGGGAGGTTTAGGATGGATATTAAGAAAATTTTTTACACTGAAAGGGTTATTAAGCATTGGAATGGGCTGCCCAGGGAAGGGGTTGAGGCACCATCCCTGGAGGTATTTAAAAGATGGGTTGACATACATAGTACTTAGAGACGTAGTTTAGTGATGGTTTTTATCAGAGTTAGGTCGATGGTTGGACCAGATGATCTGAAAGGTCCTTTCCAACTTAGACACTTCTATGATTCTATCTATTTTATTTAATTGATACCAGATTTCAAAGCCACATGTTTTGTTTAATTGATACCAGATTTCAAAGCCACATGGGACATCACGCTGTATCCATATCTATACCAATATTTCTATGTTGTTTTTCTGTGGAATGCCTTTTTTACCTCTTTGTCCATATCTACACCAGTATTTCTATGTTGTTTTTTCTGTGGAATGCCTTTTTTACCTCTTTTGTAGAAACGAAGATATTTAATTCAAAACCCCAAATTTCACTTTTGCTAGAAAGCACTTGCAAGTCATAATCCTAGTCTTTGATATAATTTCATTTGCAGCTGAGCCAACTATTGTAAGGTAGAGATATGTGAAAAATGTGGTACTTTTTCACATGAAATATACTTCATATGAATCTAGTCACACCATGAAACATATGCCACTCATTTCCATCACAGGTCCACTCTTAAAAGCAGCCTAACTCAGGGGAAAAAAAATGGAGACAAGTTCCTATTAAAAAGGTGTAGGCTAAAGAAGCTCCAATTCTTTAAATGACAAAAAAGGACCTCACTGAAGCCAACGTTACTATTTGTACAGAAATCCTCAATCTTTTCCAGTGGGCCAGGAAAGGGGAGTGTGAGTCAGTGGTTGTGTTTTGCTTGGGCTTGTTATCAACTGTTGTCCTAGGTGAGGTTGTGATTTTGAAAGTACAAGTTGTCACTCTTCCTGCGAGCTCTCTTTCTCTCTCCCTGCCTGGGGGGGGGGAGCAGAAATGTTGCAAGATTTCCACATCTCACCTAAGATAAGAACTTCTTCATCAAAGGAAGACCGAGCTGCAGCTATCTGCTAGCAGGTGATCTCAGGAGCCGAGACTGCAAAGCTTCAGGCAGCGTGGGAATGGTCCCGTTTCAGTCACAGCGGAAATCAGTGCGAGCCACGCACGCTCAGATGAGGGGAGATGTTTACTGGGAGGGAAAAATGGAAATTTGGGGTGATAGAGACAGCAGTCAGGGTGGCAGGAGAGGAATTTGCAAGATTAAGGTCTTGTTTATGTATGAAGATGATCACACAGTGCAGGGTCTAACAATCTTTCCCCACCCGGATGAGGACAGGCTGAGAGAGTTGGGGTTGTTCAGCCTGGAGAAGAGAAGGCTCCAGGGAGACCTTAGAGCCCCTTCCAGTCCCTAAAGGGGCTCCAGGAGAGATGGGGAAGGACTCTTGGTCAGGGAGCAGAGCCATAGGACGAGAGGTAATGGTTTAAACTGAAAGAGGGGAGATTGAGGTGAGATATTAGGAAGAACTTCTTTGCTGTGAGGGTGGTGAGAGCCTGGCCCAGGTTGCCCAGAGAAGCTGTGGCTGCCCCATCCCTGGAGGGGTTCAAGGCCAGGCTGGATGGGGCTTGGAGCAACCTGGTCTGGTGGGAGGTGTCCCTGCCCAGGGCAGGGGGTTGGAACTGGATGGTCTTTAATGTCCCTTCCAACTCTAACCATTCTATCATTCTATGATTTTCTTAGCAATTGAAACTAATCTGTCATATGCCCATAATACACAAACACTTGCTTCCAAATATAGAGACATCACTCTGCACTGGAACAGAACTGGGTGCAGGAGATGGATGTGGTCACTGCAGCATGAGCAGGGGGTTGCACGTTTGATGAGGAGCAATAGAGCTTCTGGGAGCATGGCAGGAAGTACAATGACAGACAAGGAAGGGATGCTCTAACTTGGAGGAAGAGTGGCATCATCTCCACTGCGCAGCGTTGTCTAGGAACTCAGCCCAACTGGGAGAGCAATCCAAGATGTAAGTCGTTGTTACCGGTGACATATCATACACCATGTTGGTGAATCAGACTTCTGCTCTGCCACCACACATTACACTGTCATCCAGAAGTGACCAGAGTGACGGTGCACGTGGCTCCTGGACATGCTGCTGTGGTATCCTGGACTAGTAGATGTTGCTACCACATTTCTTCTGGGATCTCGAGTCCCCTCAGCCCCGCTACATCAGCTTGTAGAGTCCCTGCACCCCTAGTTTAAGTAGTTTTCTCTCTCCTCTGAGGCACTGAACACGTGAGCCCTGCACAGCCCTCTGAGGGTGTAGGGATAGGTGTGGACTCCCTCGCCTACACTCCCAAGTTAGGCAAAAGCAAGCCAGTTCAGATCTGAAAGTCATGCATTTGCACAGATTTAACAACCTGGGCACAGCCCTGGGCCACTCCAGCTACACAGATTCCAGAGGTGGGTGGCATCCAGTTGGCTTGGGAAGCGAGTGAGGCAAATATGTGTCTGTCTGCACCTGTCCTGGTCAATATATATGAGTCAACAGCACCACTACTGGGGAAATAAGATTAGGGCAGGGACTAGGAAGGTCCTCCTACAACATCCAATCTGTTTTCTCTCATTGTGGATATCAATCTTGTATATGATTACGTCCCCAAACTTATCAAGCTCCACCTGAAGATAATCTAGGATGAGTTTGCCTGCTCAGTTCCTAATGGGACAGCACCCAGAGCCTCCTGATCTGATGCTTTAGGAACTTTCTAATTCCATCTCTAGATTATTAACAATGAATATAGGCACATTCTTTCTTGTACCAATACTGTCATTCAATTCAAATAGCTTTTCTCACTCACCAATATTGTCATTCAATTCAAATAGCTTTTCTCACTCCAAGGTGT